TAATATACACACACATATATATATATATATATATATATATATATATATATATATTAAAATTATGACCTATTATGATTATGATAATATTAATATTGTAATAATTCGTAGTATTATATTGTCACTAGTACAGCATTAAGTAATAAAGGTTGTCCTGTATGTGAACATGGGTATATTATCGAACGTACATCCATTGAGTTGCAAAAATTGATAACTTTCCGTACCGCAAATTCCTTTCTAGTTCTGCACTTCTTCGTATCTTTATTTATTTTACGTTATGTATTTTTTTATTTCTTATATAAATTAATGGCAATGAGGGATCCATTAAAAACCAAGCGTGAAGCTATGAAGGTAAGTGTGTTTAAAAATTTATATATTGATATAAATAATAATTAATGTTAAGACTCTTTCTTGGTTAGTTAGCCAATAATATGTAATTCGATAGATCGCGAATCTGCCTTTCTAATAATTAAACAATGCGATGTGCGTTTACGTAATTACATCGTGCTTGTTGATCGCCATAAACGCGGAATGCATGATAATGAATTATTAATTATCATGCATAAATATTTGTCAGTTAATATTGATAGATATCTGATAATCTTTGTGCTAAAACGTTGCCTGTACAGATAAGCTAGAAGAATCACGCGTAAAACCGTAATCTTTTAATTGCATAAAATCTTTAATGAAAGAGGAGTCTAATTGAAGTATTAATTAAAATAACAAAGATACAATAATAATATCTCTTTAATAATAATTTCAATCGCTTAAAGTGAAATGTTTTATATTTGTTTTATCAGGGAAAGTTTATCGGGGATAATTAGCGTTTAGATAATTGATGCTGCACCGTACATACTCTGAATGAATTAAATTAATGATAACAAATTTTTTAAATTTCGTCTATGAGACAACATTGTGATAACGGATTCGATTAACGGAGCCAGGTTTCCTGGCTTACATTGCCATGCAGATACACGATACAGTTTTTTTTTCCTTGTAAATTTTTATTTTTAATATCCGATTTTTATCAACTAATCTTGGAGATAGCTGGTCGTTGGCTGTAGAAGAGACAACATTCCGCAAAAAGAAATAGATACTTTATCTATCTATTCGCCTTATCTATTCGCCTTTAGCGCCTCTCAATGTCGCTTCATGTAATGAAGTTCGTATGTACTTGATTGGATTACACAATCATGTGTAAGCAACATATGCAACCTTACGTCATTTTCACACGTTCACACGAGTAAACCGGCACGTGCAGAGGGGCGCTCCATTCTGAGCGCCGATTCGTTCTTCTATAATGACAGATGTCGTACGAGCACGAATCGTACAAATAGTGAAGGCTTCTAAACGATCGCGATCAGTGAAGTGATACGCAACGATGGAGAATGGATCGTTCACGGTTAGCCAGTCTTCCGAAGGTACGTCAAATCTCCAAACAAGATCATCCTCGCACCAAATAAAAAATATATTTTTATATCTTCAACGTCGAGAAAAGTGATAAAGTTGTTTTTTTAATTAACAAAACATATTCTTCCGTGTTTTTAAATAGAAAATAAATAATTTATCTTATTATCCATTATATTTTTGTTCGAAAAATTATTTAATATTCATTAAAATAGTTTGCCGCAAGCGGTTTGCTCTAAAATAAACAATTTATCTTTTAATTTTACTTTTTATCTGATTTATTATAATTGTACATTATTTTAATTATATTTAACTTGTTATAGTAGTGAGAAATGAATAATATAGTGGTAATAAGATGGAAATGACAGCAATAACTCGTCACAAGAATTTTTCACAACTTTATTTTATTTTGTCATTGTTATATAGTAATTAAAAATTTATAAAATTTGCAATTTGTATTGATTTTATAAGCTATTACAGATAAAAATTTATTAATATTATATAAAATATAACATATTTATAAAAAATTGATCTTGGCTTTTATAGAAATTGCATATATAAAATTTTCACTAAGTAAATTTTCATTAAGTGAATAAAATTTAATCTTTTCACTACAGTGCATGCGCAGCTAAAAGTATTCACCACAAATGAAAAATTTATTCAAACGACGTTTGCAGAAACTTTTATAACTCAGCGATATTCGAATATAGAGGCGATTACTGTTACTATGCCACGTCAACAGGAGCATTATATCGATTAAATGATAAAATAAATGCATTTATATGTACTTACGGATTCAAGAAAGTTTCAAAATGTTGAAAGAATTTATCGTGCAATCTAGAATCTGTCACGGTTTCTTCGAAATCATGTTTTTAATATAAAGAAACGTAATAGATACTACTGATCGTTTCTTCTAAACTATAAAATAAATTAATTTACAAAATATGAAAAATAAATTTTCTGATTTATGTTTTTTTCAACGAATGAATTAACATTATATTTTTCTTAGCGCTGACTACATCTGTAATGGAATTCATTGTAATTACTAGCTAACCGATAGCGTTACGTCACGTTGCAGGTTAGCATTAAAATCATTTTCTTGCGTGACATGTGTAATTTACAACTTGATTTATGATTTTTGAAACTGATAATTGTCAGGTTTAAAACTGTTTACATCCGCAGCGAAAATCTAAATGTACACTTTGTATTTCTCGCAAATATCATCCTTGAGTGATTATGCTTCCTATCAAGCAACTTTTAATAAATTTACAGACTGTGCTCTTATAATTTTTTAAAAGCTCGTAATAAATCTTTTTGTAATTTTTATTATTAAATAAAAATTTTAGCTTGAATATTTAATGAAACTATCACATGAATACTGAACTGAAGTAAATATTGTTTCTAATAATGATGAAGTGAAGAAGATAGTAATATGTTTAAGTATTAAAAGTACATATAAAAAAAAATGAATGATAAAATTGGTGGCTTGAATGACGTGGCAAAAAATTTAGATAGATTTAAAGATCAGTTTTATCGTCTACGTGACAATAATAGATATGTTGTTGTTAACACTTACTATGATTACAATTTACTTCGTTACATCACATGCGCACGTGTTGCAGGCCGGGTCAATTCAATTTGCGCGTGAAGTAATGTTTGCAAGATTAATGTCTCATGTCCCTGAACAAACATATATCCGTATTCGTCCAGTGCAATTGACTTTAAAGTTTTAACGTAGTATCTCGTATCGCTACTAAACAGTACAACAATGCTTCGAACATAAAAAGATTTGTAACATTTGTGGTATTATCCTCGAGTTTCGAAAATTTTTTTTCGTAGCTCTTTCGATGATCTTTATTTTGATGTTTAATTTTTTCTTTTCAGACACGGCAAAACAGTTCCAGGTTTATCTGAGAAAGTACGAAAATGATGACAAGTTGGTGATTCTGGAGGCCGTGAACAGGCCAGGGTCAAAACTTGGCGACAATTACACGTCGATGTTGATGCGAACAAAACTTGTTGGTACACGCGGAGATGGAAGTCGTTAGTCTCGTTACATTACTTTTATTTTTAGCTTTACATTAAATACGAAGGACAAACGGAAATTGTCGGTAGGGAAAATTTGATTCAACGACAAAACAAAATAATTTTTAGTTTACGTAACTCCTTAATCATAGCTAGAGATAGAGAAGGAAAGAGAGAAAAAACGAAGAATGCTTATTATTTTAATGCTATTTATTCAGAATAATGTCCTATCTGAAGAGAACATACATTTTACATTTTTATTTTTTATACAAGAACTTAATTTATAATTTTTTAATGATATTTATATAAATTAATTATAGATGATAAATTTTTATGATTTATCCTGTATATTTAATTATAATTAAAAATTATTGTAGGTATTTTCTTAGATTATTTAATTTTTTATCATTATCGAAATTAATTTATCTTATTGTTTATTGTATTTTTATAACTTTGGAAGATTTTTTATCTCGGTACAGTTTAATCTCGTTTCAGTTAAAAATACCGCTTTGAATTTATTTAGCACAATAAAATAGTTATAAGTATATATGCAATATACAAATATGTAGTTACATTTTCTTGAATCTTTTTTCATATTTGTGCGTAGCATATGTCAAGACCTTTATGTGTAAAATGATAATCAAAGATCGCAACATTAGCAAGTTGCTAGAACTTTCCGATTTATTCCGTATGGAGGCACACGCATATACAAAGATATTGCCCATCGTTGGACCATCTTTTGGCCCTCAATGTATATATGCCGATGAAAATACTATAATAATGGATGATTTAGCGGGAAAGGGATACGTTAATTGTGAGAGGCGCGACTTTTTAGACATGGATCACACTGTCTATGCTTTAAAGGTATATTTTTCATCTAATCAAATAATTCTGCAATACGCAATACCATTTATCTTATCTCAACTTGTTGCTGTTGATAAACGATAGATAAGAGAAATAGATAACTTGTAAGTGCATTAATAAATGTATATGAACTAAATCGTTTTGAAGAACTTCATGCTGTTGAATTATTAGAGATTATTTTTTAATAAAGTTTATCGATTATGTCAATTATTATAGAACAATTAATTACTTTTATTTGTGTACGATTGATGCAGTTCCTTCAGGATGCAGTTACTAATTCTAAATTGTGCGCGGTAGTAATATAAATAATTTATAATCAGAAGACAACGATTCTCTCGGTGCAAGTACGTTTAAAATTGAATGATGTTTTTTCCAAGTAGTATTATGAAATAAATACATCACTTTAACTAACACAAAGTGAACTTCGTTAAGATTATAAAGTTTTGTTAGGACGTGTGTGCGAAACAAGTAAAAACATTACGAGACGTAATAATAATAATAATAATAATATTAATATTCATAGAATAGCGATATGAGAGATTCAAAGCTTGTCTGATTTTCTCGATAGCTGTCAATGATTATTGACCAATATGACGTATTATCTAAAGATCCTACACAAATTTCAAAGATTGATTAATATCATTTAAGATGATTAATAATACGATACTTATGGTTACGTTTTTGTACATTGGAAAAATATTAATAATGACTTTCAATATTAATTTTGTATTTATGCTGATACAAAGGATTATGCTGATTACAAATAACATCGATAAATAAAAATCTTAAAGTTCTTTGAAATAGAATTTTTTAACGTAGATGACATTTTCTTTTCTCAAGTTTTAATTTTTATTACGAGTTGTGGAAATTAATTATCTTGTGAAGTTTGAAAAATGATATTGAAATGATATTATAATATCATTATTTGCATTTTTATTATTTATTTAAAAATTACCGTTAGTATTTATTTAAAAAGTATTTAATTTTTAATTCTTGTAAATTTTTAATCACTTTGTTTTATCTTAAAAAGTTAATACATAATTGCATGATAATTGCACTGAGTTTTAGAAACATTTACATTTGCAATTTATATATATAGCTTTGTCGATGTTATTTTTTTGTCTGTTTGAATTTGAAGGTTTTCATACATTTGAATTGTATATATATATATTTATTTTTTTTGAATACAGATAATTGATTTATGCTTAATTCTATTTGTGATAGATTTTTTTATATTTTCCCCAGAGGTTAGCCAAGCTACACGCTTCGTCTTTAAATATAAAGATCAACAATCCGCGGCAGTTTGAGAAGTTGATTACGAATTTGGAAGAAGTAATCTACAAGGACAATTCCAAAACGTCAGTAATGAGGTCGTGTACCGAAATGTGTATAAAGTCAATGTTGCAATATTTAGAACTAATGGAACCGCAAACGGAGGAGTTGCAAGCTATCAAAGATTATATTAGTCCCTACGTCGAGAAAGCCTACGACACTTTACGAGGACTGTTCACCGCACCGAAGCAAAAGTATCACGCGATCTGTCACGGCGATCCATGGATCAATAATCTGCTCTACCTACACGACAAGGACGGCAAGATAATTGATTTGAAGATGGTGGATTACCAGATAATTAGGCATATCTCGCCGTCTACGGACATCCTTTACTTTATATACAGCAGCGTGCAGGAGTCCTTGATCGAGAGGAGTTTCGAGAGCCTCATTAAGATCTATCACAACGAGTTTTTCAATGAGCTCCGCAGATTACACATGAACGAGAAGATTCTGGCGGAACTCGGCATGGAGTGGCTGCAGACGGAGTTGCGAACTTACGCGCTTTATGGCATACTCGTCGGATGCACGATGGTAAATGCAATTTTGGCGGAGGACGAGGACGTTCAGCGATTTGAAGCGCTAGATTTCGGCCCTTTAGATCCGATTTACAGTACCGACACGAGTACGATGATAAACAGGAAAAAATTAATCGCGTCAGAATCCTCTTGACTCATTATCACAGGAGATTTGTTTTGGGCATTATTAATGACGACATCGAACCGATTCCTATTACGGGCGATCCTTAATATAAGGATCGCTCGAAATAACTGTAAATGATGTCTCTTGTCACGTCATAGTCTAATCAATTTAATTTTATTAGTGAATTTTGGCGTTTATCAAGTACAAAAAAAAAATAATGTAATCTTGCGTTACATAGATAGCTTAAATTGTTTATATTTAAAAATATAGCTATTTTTAGAAGGTTGTCGAATGGAATGTTCTCTTTTTTTATTTCAATGTTATCAAATGTTATTATTTATATAAAATACAATATATTGTCCAGACATGTGTATTAACTGAACTTTCTTTGAAAATTATATTTATATCGTTCGCGGGAGATGTTACGCAAAAATATATATATCGTAAAAAAGGAGTTCTTTGTGAGAGTATATATTTTGCACAAGTAAACATCATTCGAGAAATCTTATCATAACGCGTCGGCAGAGGACATACATAAAGGTAAATAGTATAATTTACATTGATTCTACGTTGCACAAATCATTTCTTAACAAAGCCCCGTTGGGTAACGATGTTCTAAACGGTGGTTTGTGCAAACGGCATCTTTCTCACAACACAATTTCACCGTCGAACTCGTGCCGAAATCTAATTCGCGACGCCCATCTATTTCGTCGCCGCGGTATTATTCCATTATTTCAAAGCGATATTCTACCGTGATTATTATTACGGACGGGACCGCATTACGGACATCTCGGAGTGAGGTAACTCTTGATGTTTATTAGCCTCATTATTTTATATTACGCGAGTGAAGTTAATAATGCTCATTCGAGTAATCCGTTTGAAAGGTCATAAAAAACGGAATGCGGTCAAGCGATATCATATCTTTATCGAAATTGTTTATTTGCACGTAGAGGCGCATATATCGGTATCAATTTACATCGGCTACAATAATGACATCATCGTCCGATTACGGATATTCTCTTAATACACTCCGTGTAAGTTATATTTAATCGCTACATTTAGATTCGATCGAGGGAGAAAAGCGCACAAATACTATATTCCGATTCGATTTTGCAACTGCGTTCTGCGCATAACTGTGTGGAGGATCAGCGGCGGATCAAGGCAGCGGTTTTATCGAAAGTTAAATGTTAAATTATACTCGGCGGCTGTGTGTCTCCTCTACAATTTCACGTAGCGGTAAAATGAACGGCGAGCGGAGGAGCGATGCGAGGAGTTATTTGATTAGGATGGATGGGTACATGCGTACGATAAGTCGAGGTGTCAGTTTCGCAGCCTGTGCAGCCGCGGGCCAATGTCCCAGGGCGTGGGAGCGCGTGTCGCTTAATTGCCACACTCTTTTCTTCTTGTCCCACCGCGGAGTGTTGCATTGTTCCGCGCGGCACACAGGCACGCGGAAACACGCGCGTGTAACACCGAGAGGAATATTAAGATGCCGGAAGGACGCGTTCTCTCGCGCCTCTCGGGCGGGTTACGTGGCTCCTACCTTACTATTGTTTCGACGACGACGCCGCCGCGCCGGTGTCCTGGGCCACCGGCCGCGTGATAGAAAGGCCTGGAAAGACATCGATAAGGATCCGCCGATCCCGCCGGTGGATTAAGCCTCTGACGACGTAACGTTACGTCGTCCCGAGGAATAGGAACATTTTTAGAAAGTCGACGAACATCGACGTCGGACGATTATTATCTTTGCTCCTAATTCTCGCTCGCAAGTTTTTATTCCTCTCCACGTTTGTCGATCCATATTTTTCATTATATACGCAGAACCATAGTAATTAGACGTGGCTCGTATTGCCGCATCTACACGAGTTACGAGTGTCATGAAATATCTCCGCGAGATCTACCAATCTATTGCCGCGTGTGCAAATTTCATTGTGTTTTTATTTTATTCTATTTAATTATTGATTTCTGTGAAAAAAAAACACACTTTGTCTATTTTTATATGTAGATATATTTCGGAGGTTTCGTGCAAAATGCTTCATTAGTTGAAATATTATCTTCTTCTACGATCGTAATTGATTTTTTTAAACGTACTTTTTGGTCCACAATAATGTATTCAACTTTTGTAAAAAATATATTTGGTGAAATGTCTAACACAATGTCGAATAGGATTCTTTTCTCTTTCGTTGTGTACCTATTATTGAAAGATTCTTAACTTCTTTCAAACAATATTTTTCCTTAATTATCTTTGTTCTTTTCGATTTCTTCTCAATAAATACTGTGCAATTCTTTTACTATAATTTTCATCTTTAATATTACTTTGTTATTTGTTTTTTCTTTATATCGCTGTTTTATCTCTTTTTTTTATACTTTTTTAAATAAACTTTTTTTCCTTGTTATTTCACAATTTTTTCTTTCAGTTTTTATTATTCTATCGTTTTCTATTCTATTTGTCCACTTTTCAACAATATTTCTTGAAAAATTAAAATTTTCATAAAAAAATTCTTATGGATTATTCTTTTATAAGTTTCTTTTTTGATTTCCTAAATATACGCGATTTGCAAAATTTTAAACCATTTTATTTTTTCCCCATCCGAATTTTCATAATGTGGTTATTTATTTGCAAATTTTAATTTTAATACTCTATCTATTCGCCAATTTTCTTATAAAATCTCCCTACTAACTGGATTTTCATTTGTGCTGGCTAATCTAGCGGTAGTTCCTATCCGCGATCATTAAATGGGAAATTTATTTAGGGAAGAAATTCAACTAATATTTAGAAATCTAGCTATTTAAATATAGATTGATATTTTATCATTTTCCTCTATAATTACATGCACTTGCACATAAAAATCTTTATCAACCACTCACTCTTTTTACTTATTTTTATCCATATATTATTCGTGATTTTTCAGACCAGATGAACCTATGAACAGATGAACAAATGAACTTTCGTTGCTTCTGGCTACATTGCTCCAGATAGTCGCTCTAACCATACAGATATTCTGGTTGTATAGCTAGAGATTCTAGCACATATAATCAGAGATGATAGGAAGGAAAAATATACTCCTTCAATTACCGACTAATTCTTTGTTCGATTTTACTACACACACACACACACACGCGCGCGCGCGCGCGCGCGCGTTGATTATAAAAATCGTATCGATCGCGAGGCTCATTCAAACATTAATAAAATATGAAATTTGTAATAATGATTTTTCAATTTAATTTATTAATAATATAATATTTTTACGCGATACACGTGATTAATCTTCTGGATTAAGTTCTGGTCAAGTCAGATAAACGCGATTTGTTAGGATTTATTAAGGAAGAGAAAAAAGGTAAAAAAAAAAACAGTAGTGATTAAATGATTAGTGAATCACTACATAAACCACGCACCACATAAGAGCACCCTTTCACGAAGTGATATCCAACGGAACCCCTCGAAATACTACACCCCTTTGCAATGTTAAATACGGGAGGGATTATCAATTACAAAAAGTCATAAATTTTAAAAAAATAAATTGCGCGAAATATGTATATATCTTATATATATGTACCTTGTATCATGTATATATGTATATATCATAGAATCGTCCTTTTAATGCGCTTACGAATCATTAATCATATCAGTTGATAAGCATTTACTATTATATTTATATAATACAGCAACAAATTTATAAAAGATAATATTTAATCAAGTACACATTTTATTTAAAAAATTATGTAGTTTTTTTATTAAATATTTGTTAATATTGGAAATAAAATGAATCTCTTTTGCGAAATAATTTTTTTTAACATATTTATTTTAGGTATTATTTTTATTTGGACATATTTGTATATGCTTTATATTTAAATTAACGTTGTTGTATTTTAGTGCTATACATTATCGGCGAATAATATTTATTTTTTATTTTATTTTCAAGATAACGGATTTTTAGAGAAAGATTACAACGCATACATAAATACACATATTGCGATTTTTACTCAACGTTACATCTATATTTAAATTTTTGAAAACAATAGATGCAGAGCAGTAAAATATTCTGTTATTTGTATATTTATAAACTACTCAATATTTAAACGTATTGCTTATTTCTGCGATTTTAAAATTATATTTATAAAAAATTGAATATTGATATTAATTTAAATAATACATAATGTTTAACATATGTTAAACATATGATGAAAAGAAAAGATTGAAAATAATTTATGTATAAAACTTTTTATTAGCGCATTTTGTAAAATCTATTACTCATTTATACATGTATTAATTAAATTAAGTATCTGTCCAATTTTATACGAATTACATACAACGTTTCTGTCCCAAAACTTTTAATTGAATGGAATAAATCGCTTTGTAGCAGTGCTGATGAATCTACAGAACAAAACGCAAAGTGTGCGATAATAAACCATTTTTCAAATTATAAGAGACATTCGACGCGCGTGCGTGACCCGATCGTCGGGTCAAGTGTCAACAAACATAACGCGAACCGTTCCGTGTGTAGAGTTATGTTGTTGTCTCCGGACCGTTGCGTAGAGAGGACGTGTCTCGTCCGTAGTTAATTTTTGTATTGCGTCATCACGCATTTTTGTCTTTGTTGGGACGACGCGTGGCTCAGTGCTTAACGCGATCGACTCATAATCGATGGATAGCAGGTTTAAACCTGGCTCTCGTCCCAAATATTATTTCACAAATTTTTGAGAATTTCTTATGAAAACTTAAATACAGATTAAGAGAATACGGTGCTTAATAGCACAAGAGAGTAAGTAAAGAGTAAATAATAGAAAAAGTAGAATCAAGAAGACGAAAATACAAATTAGAAAGAGAGAACCTGTGGTACATCGCCGAGGGGAAACCACATTAATTATTCTCCTCACCCGAGGAGAAGTTGGAAAAAAAAGAATTATTATTACGTCTCGAAACGCGATGCAATAAGCATGAGAATATCATAGATATCAGAAAGATACTTTGTTCTCCATTAATTGTCTTATTATATTCACCTACGCAACCGAATGATTCTCGAGATTCATGCGAGTTGTAAGGAGTCTCTGGTCGAGACTCTGGTCGTCTATTCGAAGATGTATCGTGCGATTTATCTATGGACGATCGAAAATAGAAAAGATCGAAATTCTAGATAAACGTTTCTTCACTTTCTTCGAACGTTTTTTTTTTACTTATCGGAAGATGATTACGTCTTGAAAGATACCTAAACTCGTACATATCTCGTACGTATCTCGTATCACGCGTTGGATTATTCTTCATTTTTTTTTAGTTATCGAAAGACGATTATATTTTGAAAGATGTTTTAAACTCATATACATCTAGTATCGCGCATTATTGGATTATTCTTCAGATTTAAGACTAATGTGTTTATTGCTTTCGCATCGAGAGAATGGAACGAGTTATTGTATCATGTGATTATCATGTATGACAGAATATAGATAATTAGTTTTGTTTAATTGTATTTTGCGGGTATTGTTACGCGAATGAGTAACGAAAGAACATGAAATTGATAAGCGGCTCATCAAGTTTAATAGAAAGCATCATCGGTGAATGCGATATTTATAGAAATTTATTTAGTATAAATGTTTAATCCTGAAACACGAAAACCATCCGTCGATTCATTGTGCATACAATACACGTATTCACAAAATAATGCTTATTATTATCGTACTATTCCTTGATTTGATCATTTGCACGTTTAAATATTATTATGCGACAGATTAATAACTACAAAGAGAATTGTTTGAAATTTATAATAAATTTAATTCTGCTTAATAATATATACAAAACATTGGATGAAGTATTGGACGTAATATTTAACATATAATGTATTAAACATTTATAGCAATAACAAAGTGACATTTAGTACTCATTTTTTAAAGTGACAAAAAGAATCGATACTCTAAAGGATTCTAAAGGATATTTATCATCGTCGACTTTAATTAAATGATCGAACCGCAGCCGGTTCGTCGTGTCGCGCGTCGCGTTCGGGAGTGTCGTACAAGTAATTGGACTAAAGAATTCTTTTTTTTTAACTTTGCGAATTAATTGCGTTGTGATTAATCGTGAGTGTTTCTGTAAGCATTTTTCACGAGTGCAGTGTAAGAAGGAACTCTGACATCCTGAGAGAAGGAGGAGGAGGAGAAGGAGAAGGCCTAGGAGAGGCATCGGGCATCAGTGGAGCAACCTTGCGGTGAGTATTATTTGTTATTTGCACAAAATCAATCTTTTTTTTGTTTTGTTTATTTAAATTGATTTTTTTATCTTGATGATTTTAAAATAATTAGAGTAAAAATTTTTTGAAATTTTATTATTGTTTATAAAGAATAATTTTACGAAAAATTTTATAGGTTCTTTCTTAAAATTCTATAATAATTTCATAACTATTGACATATTGAGAATGAGTAAAAAATTTAACGCGCTTATAATTAGTAGTTTTTAAAATATTGATTATTTAGAGCGCTGCTTTAATTTGGATGTTACATTTGTGTGTTACAGAATCATCGTAGTCAACGTTGCAGATAACTCCACTGTTGCGCATCGGTCGGTGAGTAACAAAGAAACTTTTTTATCCATCTATATTGTTTGATAAATTGGCTATATAATTTATTAAATAAAGCAATACGACGTAAGATTTCAAATTAAATGTTTTCATCGTGAAACAATGGAATTTCCTGAATCATCTTTGATCTAATCAGTTCTTTTATATACATCAAAAAAATATTTGACTTTGAAATAATATATATTTTATAATATACGTATTATATATTGAAGATAATTTTAATTTAATATATTCTAGAGTAGGTTATATTAAAGATATAATTTTAATAATGCTTAAATGATATAATAAAGTCCAACATCATCGGTATGTTTAATTTTTTTAAAGATATACATGGCATGACAAAATTATATTACTAATGATATTCATTGTAAAGGAAATTCATTATTCTTTTCGGATGTCACATTATACTGAGTTTCTCACCTGATACATTTTCGATGCGAGATATGTGTAACAACATTAATTATATGCAGGCGTTGTATATAAAATCGTATTCAAGAAATAATGTTGAGGACACATTATAAATTTGTTTGTCTTTCTGTAATTTTCGCATATTTATATAGTTTGGTATTTTGTCGCAATAATTGAATTTC